TCCTTGCTGTGTTTTTGCGTCGCCTGGTTTCGCCGAGCGGACCCCCCTGGGCCCGCCCGGCCGGGCGGCGGCCCAACCTAGGTTTTGAGTGCTTCCGCTGTGTAATATCAGCACCTGGTTGGGTGTGAATTTCTCTCAATCAAAAAGGGAGGACAGTTTGGCTTCAATGCTGGACAGTCTTTCCTCCATCAAAGTCATCCTGTCTTCCCAGGAGGTGTGCCCCTTGCAGTTTGCTTGCAGGTTTCTGGCTTCTTATGCCACCTCCTTTTTCAACCTTTCCACCTCTGAACCAGCTGCCTCTGCAGCGCTAGCCGGGCACATCTCCTGGGAAGACAGGATGACTTCGATGGAGGGAAGACTGTCCAGCATTGAAGCCAAACTGTCCTCCCTCGTTGATTCGCTTGACAGATTTTCTGCAGACATCTGTCTACGTCTTCCTCCTCCTCCTATTTCCCCAGCCACACCTACTCCCACACCTCATGTTACAACCCATTTCCATGCAAGGTCCTCTACTGCTGCATCACCCCAAGCCAGTAGCCCCAAGAGCAGACCGACTACACCTCTAAAGGTGCAGTCTCTGCAGCTTGTGGCAGGGCCACCTGGGATTTCTGCTGGTCTAGGCCTGCAGTCACTTTAGCCTCAGCAGTCCCAGGGTGCCCTGCCACAAGCTGCAGAGACTGCACCTTTAGAGGTGTAGCGGTCTGCTCTTGGGGCTACTGGCTTGGGATGACGCAGCAGTAGAGGACCTTGCATGGGAATGGGGTGTAACATGAGGTGTGGGAGTAGGTGTAGGTGGGGAAATAGGAGGAGGAAGACGCAGACATATGTTCGCAGAAATTCTGTCAAACTAATCAACAAGGGAGGACAGTTTGGCTTCAATGCTGGACAGTCTTCCCTCCATCGAAGTCATCCTGTCTTCCCAGGAGATGTGCCCTTTTTCAACCTCTCCATCTCTGAACCAGCTGCCTCTGCAGCGCTCCTCACCGCCTCAACTTCCTGTCCAATTAGACCTTTGGGGTCCGTCCCCTGACTGATTGAAGTATCCCCCATTCCGTAAGGCTCAATGTACAGGCAAGTCAAGGTAATCAGCTAAGGAATCAGGCCCAATGTGGCTGACAGTTTGGCTTCAATGCTGGACAGTCTTCCCTCCATCGAAGTCATCCTGTCTTTCCACTGGTAGCCCAGTTGAGTACATAATTGCATACATTTTTGTGGGGGTTTCAGTCTCAGCATAGCATGATTGTTATGATCCTGGCCAATTTCCAGGTACACATCCATCAGAAAGTATAATGCCGTCCAATTGCAGAAAGAAATGAATGAACTTGAGAGGAGAGAGAGGATTAGACGAAGAAGAAGAAGAAGTAAGAAAGAAGAAGAAGATGTTGTACACCAGCATAGACAAATGACAAGGCTCTTCTTCTTCGCCCAACAATCTCCTCCTCCTTATCTCCCCCTTCTCTTATTCGTACAATAAATAATAATATAATGTTGAATGGCTGATCCAGAATCAATGTCCGAGTTCCTCTTCTACTGCAGGTATCACTTGAGGTCCACCATAGCCATGGCCGCCTCTCCCACTCTTCACTCTCACAGGCTGAGGCTATGGCGGACTACTAGGCCTTGCCCGGATGCCCAAGGGACAACCCAAAGCAGCTATGGCTGCTCTAACTCAGGCCGCCATGCCTGACCCTGCCTCGAAGCTTCTTGGTGTGGCTCTCCACAGTTGGGAACTCCCTGCTGCAGCGCCCACCAAGGTGATGAAGATGGCTGCCACCATAGCCAGGTAAGTACCCCTGGCGCTCCTCCTCCTTCCTTCCTTCTTCCTTCCTCGTGTCCTTCTCCTTCCTCCCCAGCAGCACTGCTCCAGCATAGCGCTGCTCCAGCCAGCGCTCCACCAGTGTGTCGCCAAACTTGCACACCGAAAAAGAGGCCGGGCTCTTTGCCCGGCTGGGAGATATAGCGGTCTGCTTGCCTCTTCGGGTGGTGACTTCCAGGCCGCTCGGCCTTCCAAGCAACTGGTACCTCCTCCCTTTCGGAGGGAAACATCATTCCAGACTCTGATATTGCCCGTATACGCCCTAGACCCAGACTGGTTGGACTGGTATCCACCTAGACCTAACCTACAACTACTGAGCCTCTAAAAATGCCACTTTTGTCTTCTGCTCCGCCTCCAGTACCCGCACATCTACCCCTTCAGGGTGTGGTACCGGCCTACCCGCTACTTGAGTGTTTTTCCTGCTGCAATCCCGCAATGTCACGGCCACAGGTAAGTAACGGCCCTGAGGGCCGAGTGAACGAGCAAGTGCCCTTGCGGGCCACACACACACTCAAGCCAACCAGCACTCAGACAGACATGCAGCCCAGCAAGCGTGCACACACAGACTTAGTAGCAGGCGGGAAACTCAGCAAGGCATTCAGTCTATTGGCAAAACTCAGAAATCAGCGGTGTGTTTCAGTCCATGTTTGGACGGGTCGTCACATGATTTACATTTTCACAATGATACTTGTTCTCTCTCTCCCTTCGCCTACCCCTCCCCAAACCCCTCTTTCTTCCCTTGTAATTTGGTTGACTTCTACGCTTGCCATTCCTTCTCCAACCAATTGTCAATGCATTGCTACAGTTGGTTTTGGTGCATGGGCTTGTGGTTGGGTAGTAATCAGGCAGTGGTGATTGCCCCTTGATTTTTCGCCTCCATGTCAGGAGTGTTTATGCCCCCATGTGCTCGTCTATGCCCGTGTGCATGTCTGTGCCTGTGTCTTCGAACATTGAGCAGTTGTATGGACCTAAAGGCGTCGGCGCACTTATAATCCGCCGCGGAGTCATTCTTCCAAAGTTCATGCTCGGCGCAGGCCATGAATCTGGGAGGCGTGCAGGCACTGAGAACGTGGCGCTAATCGTTGGCCTCGGCAAGGTGCTTTTTTTATCCAAGCTAACATCCACTCGAAGTCTCAAACTCAGTCCACCTTCACCTTTCTGTCTTCTTATGTATGACTATATATATATATATCGTCAAATAGAACTGCCCGGTAAACCGTAGGCAGAGAGGGAGAAGAGGACAACAAACGAGGGGCTGTGACAAACTGTTTCGT